TGTTTTCTAATACACGCGCGCATTGCATGCATTCAAACAGCGCCGCACGAGCTCGTTAGCCAGGGTTCAAAGTCCAAAGCGCGAGCTGAAAAAGTGTTATTCGTCAGTTGCTCAGTAACATTTTTATGATTTTTTACAAGGCATGTGACAATGCGATACGGTCAACAAACGTCTTCCCAAATTCGTAATGAGAATCATTTATAAATCTACTGTTGTCAACAAAAAGAAGCACTGAGGTCTTCCTGCGGGTTTCTGCCAAAATAAAAGCTGAGAAAGAACATAAGTCTATATCATCGTCAGAACAATAATTCTCCATTCCATCAATGCATAACTTGTAAAATTGTTCCCAGTCAGCTTTATCAAATTTCCACCTGGTTTGCTTTATTTTATTTTGTTGATAAATTTCCATTCCAAAAGCACATATTATTGGAAAATGATCACTACCTAATGTTGAATGATCTAGGACTTCCCATCTACATTCCAATGCTATAGTTCCCGGAACTATTGTTAGATCTAGACAAGAAGTTGAAGAATCCCTTATATTGAATCGAGTTCCCTTCCCATCATTTAAACACACTAAAGCTTGTTCCTCCATAAACTCTTCTACAACCCTTCCATTCCAATCTGTGCATAAACTTCCCCACAGTGCATTATGTGCATTAAAATCCCCACACCATATTAAATTATCCCCAGCCTTAGTTCTTATTATATTCAATTCATCTAATGTTAACTGATTGCAAGGATTATAAAAGTTGACCACCTTCTGACAGAGTGTGTCTGCCTCCCGAACAGTGTTAGGTAGATTGTTCCAGAGTTTGGGCGTTAAATAGGAAAGGATCTGCTGCCCGCAGTTGATTTTGATATTCTAGGTATTATCAAATGGCCAGAGTTTTGAGATCGCAGCGGGTGTGAAGGATTATAATGCGATATGAGCTCACTCAAGTACTGAGGGGCTAAACCATTCAGGGCTTTATAAGTACTTAGCAAGATTTTAAAATGTATATGTTGTTCAGTAGGTAGCCAGTGCAGAGTTGACAGAACCGCGCTAATGTGGTCGTACTTCCTGGTTCTAGTAAGAACTCTAGCTGCTGCATTTTGGACCAGCTGGAGTTTGTTTATTGAGCGTGCAGAACAACCATCCAATAAAGCATTACAATAATCTAACCTTGAGGTCATGAACGCATGAATTAACATTTCTGCATTTGACATTGAGAGCATAGGTCATAATTTAGATATATTTTTGAGATGGAAAAATGCAGTTTTACAAATGCTAGAAACATGGTGCTAGAAACAAAGGAAAGATTGCTATCAAATAGCACACCTAGGTTCCTAACTGATGACGAGGTATTAACATCAAGTGTTAGACAGTGTTTTAGGTTATTACATGCGGAGGTTTTCGGTCCAATAATTAACACCTCTTTTTTTCAGAATTTACAGTGCCTTGCGAAAGTATCCTCACCTCTTCACCTCTCAGGCTTTGTCAGGTTGAATGGGGGCAGATGCACATTTTCAGGTTTCTCCAGAAATATTTGACTGGGTTCAAGCTCAGTCTATAATTGACTCTTTCTGTGTGCTTAGGGTCATTGTCCTGTTGGAAGGTGAACCTTCTGCCCAGTCTGAGGTTCTGAA